ACGTGAACACATGATTCTCTCTGGTCTCTACACACGTGAACACATGATTCTCTCTGGTCTCTACACACGTGAACACATGATTCTCTCTGGTCTCTCCACAGGTGAACACATGATGACCTGTCTCACCTCACTGTTCACTCTTTAGTTTTCTTCTCACTGTTCTGAAGCTTCTCTACGATCTTCCTCTCGTGTCCTGCAGGGTTTGGTCTGTTGGTGTTGTCACTGGCCTCCTTCTTTGTTCTGCCTTTACGAGTCGAACCCTCTGCAACACAAACACACACATTATTAAACACACACATTATTAAACACACACATCATGAAACACACACATCATGAAACACACACATCATTAGACAGTTTATCAGAAGGATTCCGACTCAGACGTCCTGTGACGCAGGAGAAACACCCGTTTCCTCACCTGAGTATTTATCGCTCAGATTGTAATATTCATATTCATCATAATACTCGTCTTCAGAGCTGGAGGGTTTCAGGTTCTTCACGTCCACGTGACTCATGTTGGTCTGAGACGATGAACTCAGTTTGATAAGAGCTGCAGAAAACTTCTTCTTCTTCTTCTTCTTCTTTTTTCCGAGCAGGAAAACAACAGGATCTATTTTCTGCTCTGTTCTCTGAGTCTTTATAACGGGAACATTCAGCTCCTCCTCCACACTCACTCCTCCTTTCATAAACACTCATAAGTTCCTCTTCTCCTCTTTTTCCTCCTCCTCTTTTTCTTCCTCCTCTCTTTCCTCCTCCCCTTTTTTCATGCTGTAAGTGTTGCATCAGCTCTGAGAGGAATTTTTTCCAAATCTGTGATTGATCATTAAAATCTGGACGTTTCCGACGTGTTGTATTTGTTGTTTGTTTGTTTTTGGCGGGGGGGGGGGTTATAAATTATTTTAAATCTGTGAAACTTGTTTTTTTGTTCGTTTCGTGATTTTGTTTTTTTTTTGTCACTGAAAAACATTTACTCTTTTATTTTTCCTTTTTTAAGCATCGCAGTGTTTGTTGATGTAATACTAATTTCAGCCACAAGAGGCTGCCCCAGTTTAAAGTTGTTCATGTTGTCTTGCAGCTGATTTTTATAAACAACGTAGAAAACTTAGTCAGAAACACGAGGAGGAATTTATTTATCGACATATACTTGATAATTCTACAGGATGTAAATGCTTTTTCATTTGTTATCGTGGACGTTTGAAACTTAACGAACATATAAAATGTCACATGACGTCAGTGACCTCTGACCTCAGCTGGAGTTTTGATAAATTTATAAAACACGTCGGATTAGTTGACGGACTTTGGTTCATGTGTTTGACCTTCATTTAAAATCTGCTCTGTTTGTCTTTCTTTATCAGCAGCTGCAGATTTCACAGTGTGTGTGTGTGTGTGTGT